GGTACACCCTCTTTCTCACCTCTCTCACCGGCGGAAGCACGGGCTACAGTGTTTGGACGTCAGGGAATGCAAGGAAGGAGCCTGCTGTGGTCTTGAATGACAGATATTTTGTCTATTCAAATCCATTTATCCCCGAACCATCCGAAAGTTTCTACGTGTTGTAGTAGAAATACGTATTGTAATAAAAATTGACAATCAGCCCAATTGTTGGGGGTTGAGTGTTGATTTTCACAAAGATGGAAACTGACTTAAATGACTTCCTACAGTTTTTTCGGTTATGAGTGGTGGGGACAGGGAAGAGGACAGGGTCTGTGTGGAGAAGAGAGAAAGAAGGATGACGATGTCTCACGTGTCTTTTTTCGGACAGATTTTGGGTCGGCTACTGCTTCCGCTTCGGACAAGCATCCTGCGGGCACCCCGTATAGATCGGGGCTTACCTCAACAGCACACATCACTTTTTCAGTTTGATATAATAAGCTGACGATGTCGGATTTCTGCTTCTAGGATTTGAAAACTATGCGGTAAGTAGGAAAAAGGGCCCCATTATCGTGTATTTTCCAGCTCTTTTTGTTCTTCAATCCTGAGCAACGAAGGAACCTGATCCGGTGCAGTTTGCAGCAGATATCGTCTGGGAGTCGCACCGCAAAAGCGAGGCGCGTATCCAAACTTGACCGTCTCGTGGAAACGATCCGCCGCCTTGTTTTATGCTGCCCAGGTAAACAATTTGCTTGTGAGGGTGACGTACGCATTGATTGCCGAATCCCTGCCCATTTTCTTACCATGGGAATGGTTGAATCTAACTGGTGCTTGATTGTTCAAAGCGGTACAGTGCACGCTCAGCCCAGGTTATTATTTATTTCCTGCCAGTGCTGCCCTAGCCCCATCAAGGCGGGAAAGCGAACAGTGCAGTGGAGGCCTGAAGAAGATGCCCGAAGTCCAGATCAGACCATATGCCTGGCATGGCAACGCGAGGTTGGCTAGAGCAGGGCAGGGCAGGACAGACCAGTGGAAAGCCAGGCTGGGCAGCCCACGCAGCAGCAATTCGACAGCAATGCCACTTTTCACCAAATCGTCACTCCATCAGTTGTCTGTGACAGCGTTGCACTATCTCTCATTGCCAAGCTTTGGTGCCTCAAATCGTTGCACTTCACATCACACAGACTGGCTTCCACTCAAGGTGTGCAGCCATCAAGAAGTTTTTCGTCAGACATCTCCGCATTGCATTCTGCTCATTCTGCATCCGCCTAAAACATCCTTTCATTCGCCGTCTCGCCCTCCCAAACAAATAGAGCTGCTTCGCCGGATCAACAGCAGCCATTTTACCTCTCACCACCGTCGGTTTCTCCTCTACAGCACTTATCGCATACCGCACCGAGTATATCCGTCCACCTCGCCGCTCGCTTTTACGTCCATTATTCGCACGTATCTACCCTGCTGCTTCCTAACAAAGATTCAATATGTGTCATCCGCCGTCGCGTCCGCTTCGCCAGTCCCGCCCTCCTCTCGAGCACGACACAAAACGCCAACCACTGGCGGCAAACACCTCACGACGAAGACTACCTCCAACACGTCTCGTCGGACGATTACTACCACAATCAGCGCCATCATGGCGATGATAAGCAGTATCGGCATCAGAATGAGTTCGGTGAGGATCATCTGAGTTTCTGTTCGGAGCACGAGCGTGCGCATCTGATGAGTCATCAGTTGTCGGCATCGGCTCCTGCAAGCCCCGAATCTTCGCGTCGTCAACGGGTCTATCATTTCGTGACGGCGTCTCAGTCTGCTCACGGTCGCGCCGGCGGCGGTAGTGACGCGGTCTGCAAACCGCCGCCTGCAGCCGGACGTCTGCTCGTTCGTGGAGGCAAGCTCGTGCCGCATCCTTCCACGCCGTGTCAGTCGTCGCTTATGGCGCCGCCGCAAGTTACGACGGCGAAGACGCCGCAAGTTTCGGCTGCAAAGACACCGCCCCAACAGCGGCGTTTGAGGCAAGTTAGGCCGTTACGCCAGCGCGAATCGCCTCAAGCCACTTCGCGGCCAGTTGCGCCACCCGCGCGCGTCGGGGCCGCGGCTTACGCCGCCGCCACCATCGATATCATCCTCTCCGTCGTTCGCGACGCCTCCTCCCCATTCATCTCCGCCTTTTGCTCCTCCCAAGCCATCGCTGTCGTTTTCGCCTGTTCCCAAGCGGCTTGTCTCACCAAATCAGCGCCCGCCCTTGCCGAACCAAAAAGGGCAAGTTCCGCACGAAAAGCTCCGCCTTCCGAACCAGCCGACTCCGCCTCCCCATGCCACTCAACGTCGCTCTCCGCCGATCTCTTCGCCAACTCCGCCGTCGCGCCATGCTTCCGCGCCGCGAGCATTTCCACATTTTCGGCAATCACCACCGAGCCCGCCGCTTTCCCCCGACGCTCCGAATACGACTCTTGGTGACGGAGATGTGTTTTTTGCGCCTTCTCCGCCAGCCTCGGCGCCGCGCACTGGCTTCAGGTCGGGCCAGCGGCGACCGTGCTTCCGCCCGTCCGCGGGTGGCGGAGACCGCTGCATTCAGCGGTGCAATAGCGACAATCACATGGAGCGGACTCGGCGCGCTGCTGGTTCGCGTCATCCAGTCAGGAGGTGCGGGGGATGTGAGGTCGAGGAACAGTGCGAGTCGCGGTTGGAACAGGCGCTTCTGTCCCCCTGCAGATCGTGTGTGACGGCTCCCGCGTGCAGGAGGTGGCCTCATTCCTCATCTCCATCCTCGTCTTCAGCTGCCCCATTATCGTCGCCTACTACAGCAACTGCGGAGTTCTTTGATCAGCATGAAGTTTTTTCTGCGGTTTTCACTGAAAGTCCATCGTTTTTGGAAGAGGATACCACCAAGTTCAGCAGCAATGGCGTCGTGAAACCCTACAGCTCTCCTTCCTCGAGCTCTAGCAAGCTACATAATAAGCCTGTATCCGGAAATAATTTGCGGCGAGTTAGGTTTGACATGGCCGCCGAAGTGCTTTGCGTTTGAGAGCGTGTCGAGGCAGGTGATGAGCGTAAATTTCGGTTTACCCATTTTTTTGGATGCCTTAGGAAAAAAGATCCGTTTCCGTTTATAAATGACTTCGTAATGCTGCTCCATGTATAAAGAGGGTGTTTCGCTATTCCTGATTATCTGCTAACCTAGCATCCACAAACAATTAGCCTCGCTAGTGGGAGCGTACGCCACACAAAAACCCTCACAGTTGTCAGGGTCAGCACAGCCTACAGGGGTTTAGTAGTTGGTTCGAGCTGCTGAAGAACCTTCGCTAACTGGATAACTTGTCCACAATGGCGGCCGACGCGTGCACGAAACCCGCGCATCTTGACGGCGCTTCCGCCCCTGCGCCTTCAACTCCAGATAGATTAAGGTTTTCCGGAGCAGCAGAGGCAGTAGAGAGGGGGAACTCAGAGGGTGGATTAGGGCTTTCTCGCGCGGTCGAGGCGGCGCGATCTGCGATCGGGCGCGCGGTGGAGTTGGAGCTCTTAAACGACTTGCGGATTAAAGGCGTGCTTTCAGACTGCGATCACAGGCTCAAGTGCGTTGCATTATTTATTATTGACCATAAAAACACTTGCACTTGCGATACAGTCAGATTTTGCTCTGGTTTCACATTGCACTGCTTGAAATCCCTAATCCCTGAGAAAGCACTACGAGGGAGACAGGTTTTGCCGAGTTTTCCCTTTGAATGGGATCCGATCGTTCCTGTTCAGGCATCAGTGCGTGAATTCTGCCGTCCTCACTTTGTTCCATGTCAGATTTTACTGTTCCGCCAAATTCGTATTTCCCTGCTTGGTTCTTATATCCGTTGCAGTCAAGCTCACGACTCCCCCCGCGTCCCCTGTTGCCGTTGTTTCACTGAAACTGCAGTTGCACTGTCACCGCAGCTTCCACTGAAACAGCAATGGTACGTTTCATCAGCCACTTCCCTCTCCCTCTCCTTACGTCCAATCCTCCCTCTTCCCCTCCTCCTCTCCCCCTTCCCCCCCCGCACCTCCCCCTCCTCTTCGTCATTCTCCCCTACCTCCCCTCGTTTCCTTCTTCTACATCTGCTAAGCTCTATGATGGGCTATGCATGGTACGAAGGGCCATGCATGGGATGACGGGCTATGCATGGGATGAGCCATGCATGGGATGAACGGCTATGCTTGGGGTGATGGGCTATGCATGCGATGAAGGGCCATGCATGAGATGATGGGCTATGCATGGGATTATGGGCTATGCATGGGATGATGGGCTATGCATGGGATTATGGGCTATGCATGGGATGATGGTAGGCCGTGCATAATATGTTGTACATGATAAGGCATGCATGCATTAGCTCTACCCTTGACGATGAACCTGGGAGTGGGGGTTACCCTGCTGTCCTAACTATTACCCTCCCATCTATACCCTCCCCGTCCCACCGTGCAGGGCGAGTCGCTGTCATTTCCAGCGCTGTTTGTGAGAGCAAGGGCTGTTCGCCTGCTACGTGTACCGAGCATGTGTACATTGAGCCGGCAAGGGGCTTGCTAAGCTATCCTTTGTACAGATATTATATTGTTCCGGTAACAGTTTGTATATCGGTGTACATGGTGAAACAAAATCACATATTAATGACATGCGCACACATAACACAAGCATGTACAGCACTCTCTACATAATGTACAGCCGCACACACCTAGGTTCACTGGCTGCACGCCAGCAGCGGTCCTAGCTAATCGTAAAAGCCCATCGTCCCCACACTCTCTAACGTCTGGCTGCTGCAGAGTCTGCTCCACATACAGTAGGCGACTCAAAGATTTGCCAATGATGCAGGTGAGGTGAGTCGATCCTCGGGGGGGCAGGGCTAGACAATGGGGCAGTCTAGCTGCAGGGTTACAAGCCCTGGTGCCGCTCGCCAGCTCTGGAGACAAACAGCAAGCACAAGGGCAGTAGGGGCAAATTGTCAGGCAGGAGGGTGTTTGTCGCATTATTACCGTACCGCTGCTTCCCCTCGCTGAAATGCGTGCCTCTACGGCCGGGCTGCACCGAGAAAAGGGCGGACAAAAGGAGGACGAATAAAGGTGAAGGAACGTACTTGGGCCTGGGCCACCCTCACGAATGGCACTCGCGCACAGTGGTAGAACATACACGGCCAAAGGGGGGCAGACGACGAGATAGAGTCGTACCTGAGCCTGAGTCACCCTCACGAATGTCACTCGCCCACAGTCATCCATGACCGCTTCAGACGGTGCAGTGGTGGTTTTACAAGCCACACGGTAAGCACACAAGGACAGGAAGGAGGGCACACGACGAGAGAGTCGTACCTGAGCCTGAGCCACCCTCACGAATGTTACTCGGGCACAATCATCCATGACTGCTTCGGATGGTGCAGTGGTGGGTTCACCAGCAGCCATGCTCGCATTACCCGCGCTTCCCCTTGCCGCAGTGCGAGCCGCTACAGCCGGGCTGTAGCGGGCCAGGGCGGCAGCTGCGGCAGAAAGCGTGGAGGCGCATCTAGAGCAGGCTGTATCTGCAGAGGCGCATGCCTTGGCCAGGCGAGTGACGTTCTGACTGCAGGGAGCAGGAGGGGAGGGCGGGAAGGCGGGAGGGAGAGCGGAAAGAGGGGAGAAGTTCGGAGGGACACAGGAGCAGACAGGGAAGGGATGAATAGGAGCAGACAGAGGGGAGGCGCATCTGGAGCTGGTTGTATCTGTCTGTTGCGAGGCACATGCATGTGAAAGGCACATGACCTGCAGGAAGCTGGGCTGAGTTGCAGGTATGAAGGAGGAGAATAGGAGATGACAAAGTCAGATCAAAGTCGTGGACCCACAATACTGGGCACTTCAACTTGGCGGATCCACTGTCACCAAAGGCAGCAGACTGCAACGTGAGAGAAGGAGAATACCTTGTCGTTGAGAGAATATGCCCTGCATGAGGACAAGGCACTTATTCTGCAGACATGGCTGTTCTCATCAGACATGCCTTATACACTTACAGTCGATCCACGTCCTGCACCCACACCACAGGGCACTTGTTGCTTGGCGGATCCAACCGCCACCAGAGGGAGCAGACTGCGACGAGATGAGGCTGAAGAGGAGGAGGAGGAGGAGGAGGAGGAGGCGTTGGTGGGAGGGTTGCAGAGGGAGAAGACATTGGCAGTGATGCGCGGGGCGCACAGGGGACGCCTGCAGATGCGCCTGGAGGGACTGGTAGCGGATGAGGGGAGGGAGATGGGCAGAGAGAGAGGAGAGAGACCACACGAAACGGAGGAAGGCTCAGAGTCGAAGCCTTTTAAATCAGAGCTGGGAATCAGGTCAATGGGCAGTGATGCGCGGGCGGACAGGTGATGCCTGCAGATGCACCTGGAGGGACTTGGGAGCAGAAAAGGGTGGGAGTTGAGGAGCAGAGAGACACACGAGTGCAACATGTTATTTGTCAGAGTTGGGGATCAGGGCATTGGCAGTGATGCGAGGCCGAGCAGGTGATGCCTGCAGATGCACCTGGAGGGACTGGGGAGCGGATGAGAGAGGGAGAGGGGCAGAAATACCACAAAAAACGGGAGAAGTCAGTGGGCTTCATGAGTCAGAATTGGGCTTGTCGACAGTGACGTGAGGAGGAACAGCCACGTGTAGAAAGTGAAGTTTTGAGACGGATCAAAACTTCACCTTTTACACGAGCCTTACGAGTCAAAGTTGGGCTTGTCGACAGTGACGTGAGGAGGAACAAGGGATGGCTACAGGTGAGCCTGGCAGGTCGTTGGGAGGTTTGCCCTTGATTTCTGAGATGTCTAGCCTGCACCAGCTTCGCAGTACCTTCCTGCAAGGGGTGTTGAGCTCGGGCTGTGTGGTGATGGCGAGGAAGAACATGGGCTCCCTCACAGCGAAGCTCCTCTGAAACGCCAACAGCGGCCCGCAGCATGCGTCTGGGGATGGAGACGGGCCAGAGCAGGCCGAGAGAGCTGGAGGTGATAAAAGGCACGGGGGAAATGAAGAGGCAGGCGAGGCGGTGAGGTGAGAAACAGAGGTGAGACATGTTTAAGCCGAGTAGGTGCCAGAGCAGACCGATATGGGCGGAGCATGTGCAGACGAGAAAACCGAAAGGGAAAGAGAAAAGAAATGGGGGACGGCTGGAATAGACAACTTTTTTGAGAATTCTCAGACACCGACTTGAACAGCCCGTGGATGCATGCGTCTTTTTCACATCTAAAATGGTGCAAGAATGAATATACTGGCGTCACACGCACCGATTGTAACAGCACCGTGGATAATGCTTGAACTGTGGGTGCAAAGAAATCTAAAAGCATATATGTGATGTTCCGGTTGGAGAGGCAGGTGAAGTCCACGTTACAGCCGTAGGTTGGAATCGTTGGTAGGGGAGCTGGTACCGGGCTTGCCCTTGCCCTGCTGCCACCGCTGCTGTTGCTGCTGCCGCTGCCAGGGCTAACAGGGCTGGAAAAAAATCCTACGAGCATACAGAAAGGGGATGGACAACGTACAGGTGATGTTCCCGTTGGCGAGGGCACTGAAGTCCACGTTACAGCCGTAGGACGGAATCGCTGGTGGGGGCGGTGGCACCGGGCTTGCCCTTGCCCTGCTGCCACTGCTGCTGCTGCTGCTGCTGCTGCTGCTGCTGCCACTGTTGCCACCTGGGCTGCTGCTGTTGTTGCCGCTGTTTATGGTGAAACTTCCGCCATCAGTGGTATCATCTTCATCAGTGGTGGTGCCGGGTGGAGTGGTGGTGCTGGGAGGAGTGGTGGTGCTGGGAGGAGTGGTGGTGGGGGGAGTGGTGGTGCCGGGGGGAGTGGTGGTGCCGGGGGGAGTGTCGTCAGGACCAGCGGCTCTAGGTCGGCTTGAGGTCGCATTCGTGTCCGCTGCATCGGCGAGAGAAGCGATTACTGGCAGAATGAGCAGCACCAGGAGGACCAGCTCGAGGCAGCTGCTCAGGGAAAGACAATGCAAGACACACAGAAAAAGGAAAGAAACAAAGAAATACACTTTGTTTCTATACATGAATTAAATAAATAGAGAAGAACAAGGAATCGCCAACGATTCTTTCCACTCGCATAGAGGCGAGTTTTGAAGCGTCTCAAAAGCAGAAGCGAGTTTTGAAGCGTCTCAAAAGCAGAAGCGAGTTTTGAAGCGTCTCAGAAGCAGAAGTGAGGTTTGAAGCGTCTCAAAAGCAGAAGCGAGTTTCATACTGACAATTGAAGGACGGAAGCAAGGAAGCAAGCAAGGAAGGGGGATTTCGTCACCATTGCCTTCAGCAAGCAGACTGTTGCAAACTGCCATGAAAAACGAGGAACGGGCTTGAAGTATGGAGTGACAAACGTACCGTTTCATAGCTTGCTCAGACGAGGAGGCCATGCGCTTCATGTTGACGGTAAGGGGTAGTGAGAAGTGGTGACAATTGGTGTGACGGGGTAAAGAGTGGTGATACGAGGTAAAACGCGGCGAGAGATGGTAATAAATGGTGCGCAGAGGCGTTTCCACTGAACGTCAGATTCGTTGAACGATCGAATCCTCAAACCCGCGAGATGACGCAATCTCAAGTGGCCTATCCGCTGGTTATGGTAGTCCATATTTAAACAACTGAGCTTGGCGACGATTCCTAGAATCTCAGGCAATTTCGTGGACTGAACAGGAGAATAGCACGCGGCTCGAGGAGGTACAGTGAAGGAGTGTTTGTAGCGGGAAAAACGAATGGAGCGAGTCAGTCTGGGCCTCAATTAAAACTAAATTCACGTCGTTCAGTCCAAGACGCGCTCGATCAGCATCTCAATTGACGAGAACGATTTCTCTACAAATACGAGCGAATTGGTTGCGGGTCCTGTGCGATGGAGCATATGTCCTCTTTCAGTTCCGTAATCCCAAGGGTCCCTATCTCCCGTGTTTCGTGCTTTTGAATTTCCACGGCCTTGATATGTGGCTGATTTGAAGTCAAATTTGATCAGGACGCGATTTTCAAAGGCAAAACTCCACTGAAATGAGATGGCGACAGGCAATCAAGCACAGCAAGTTCATGCAGAGTGTCGATTATGTGGACCGCGTGACACGATTGTGTCGCTGCAGCTGTGTCAAGCTGTTGTTGTTTAGTGCTTACATAAAATAATTAGAGAACCGTGCACATTTCTCATGCTTCATATACGCCCTGGAAAGCTGGGAAGTGCAGCCTGCTTGAGGCCCGTATCCCCGGTTTTGTATGCGGCGTTATGGCAACGCCTTTGCAGCACGGAAATCGTATTTCTGTTTTATTATGCGAAATTGCGGCGGCCCTCTCTCATTGGCAGAGAAGCGCTTGGCCCAAATCGCAGTGCCGGGGCGCGTAACGGTTACTGTAGAGAGTTCTTCCCTACCGTCGCACCCAATCGCTGTGGAACTTCCAGAAGTTCGTGAACCTCGTGGACTTAGAGAGAGATCCACCCGTCCGTCCATCTCTTGGCAAAAACGGTTGGGAAAATATCAAATAGGGGCCGAACAATAGCAGGGAGGTGACCGAATTAGGGCCAGGTTGATCCCAACCGTCAGATATACCCCTTGGGGCTGCCAAAGTGGTTGGGCCAAGAATCCGAGCCAAGATAAAAAGGAAATTGCTTTTTGCTCAACTTTCTTGGTTCAATAATGTTTTCATGGTTATGATCGCCGCCTAATACGAAGCTTGCGTCACATTCCTCTGGAAGTAGGTTTCGTCATGTTTGTTTTTTTGGAAATGAAATGCGTAATCGTTAAAAAAAACATCACTTTAGCTGACATAAATAATAACACCCGTTCGGAAATGGATGCGACTCGGGAGGCATCAACCCTAAACACCAGGCGGGTTCCCGTGTTTAGGGTTGATCCATCCTGGAAATGCGTCCAGGTTCCCTATTGGTTCTAGTTTGTTTTAGGATGCCCTAACATTTCCCGGTAGCGTCGATACCGCCGGTAGCGCTACCTGGCTTGCTAAACGACGCTACCGGATGAAAAAATTATTCATTTACGATATCCTAAGAATATTGAGGTGTGAGCGAAAATGCACGCCGTGACGAACCTCTCTGTTAATCCCCCCTGTCCCAGCGGTTTGGTCAGTTTCGGGCCTCTCGGCCCCTGGTCGATCACTTGTGCGGCCCCTCTTTGATCATTTCCCAAAACGGTTGTTGGTTGGTTCAGCACCAACGACGGAGGGCCGTATCGTGGCTGTGGCCCGAGGGTCTAAGGGCGCGTCAGACTTCTTCACTTTCGGTTCAGTAACTGCGGTGAAGAAAGGTTATGTGCTTTCTAGAGCGGTGATTTGCTCCACCGCGTTTAACCGTCACCCACCAGTCTGAACAGTGATTCATGAGCTGAAACGAACTCGTATGACACGCCTGATGGGAGGTGACAGACAGGAGGGAGACTGGATGTGGCTGTGAAGAGGAGATGAAGGGAAGGGACACGAAGGCCCCAGGGAACCGGCGTGAGGCATGACAAGAGAGGCCTGTTGGTGTTGTGGTTGTGGTTGTGGAGCATCCACGATTCCACATGCTAGCCTGGGATGGGAACAAGGGAGATGAAATGAACGACGAGACTTTGGTACAGCATGACATCGCAGTGCAGTTTTGGGATGTCGACTTTGATGCTCTGGCTCGCCCAGGCGCATTTCAAGAGCGGCTGTGAGCTACCAACCGTAACCTCTGACCCTGCTGTACTCAGTTGATACTAATATATGAACGTACTGACTGTAATCTACTCGCATCCATCACTGCAAAGCGGAATCGGTACTAATTCCGTAAGGTTTGCACTGATTCGAGATACCTGTGAAATTCGGTAGGGTGACGTGGAACCTAGACCGAAAGAAATGGTCGTTAGATTACCCGACATGGAAATGCGAGCAAGGAAGTCGGCGGTTGTCAGCGCGACACGACAAGATACATTACATGAGACGGATTCCGTCACGGAAAAATCGCGCCGTTAGCGGTGCGCGAGAGCCAGCTTTGGTGACGGCGACGTCCAGAAGTCGACCGCGGCTCGAGCGGCAAGAGCCAGATTTTGACGAGCCGCGAAGCACGGCGGAGGAAGGAAGAGAAAGAGTGAAATTCGTCAATGCGGAGGGGAAATCGTCTTTCGAGAATTCTCAAAACGGATTTGCGAATGGAAAGGAGGGGACGAAACGTGGAACCGATGGAAGGAGAAAGCGCGATTCACGGATCGTAGCGGGATCCACGGACGAGGGGGAGGGACGGGAGGTGCTTCTAATAGCAAGGCGTTGATTTGCATGGCGCTGCTGGCTCTGCAGTACGGCTTGCAGCCGATTCTCACGAGGAAGCTGCTCAGGTGATGGATGCTTGCGATGCGAGTGAGGTGATGAATGGCGTGATAGGGTAACAATGTAACAGTGTTTCTCCGGTGTATTCAATGGTTTGCATCATGGCGCTACTGGCTCTGCAGTATGGCCTGCAGCCGATTCTCACGAGAAAGCTGCTAAGGTGATGGATGCGTGCAAATGCGGACCGCCTTCCTTATCCCCGTCAGGCGGCGTTGTCTGTTGCTTGGTCCTGCCCCGAATCTCCTTGCCTTTCCTCCCAACTCTTCTGTCCGTTCTATCCTCAACTGAATCCCCCCCCCCCTCCCTCCCTCCCTCCCTCCCTCCCTCCCTCCCTCCCTCCCTCCCTCCTCCCTCCCTCCTCCCTCCCTCCCTCCCTCCTCCCTCCCTCCCTCCCTCCCTCCCTCCCTCCCTCCCTCCCTCCCTCCTCCCTCCCTCCCTCCTCCCTCCCTCCCTCCCTCCCTCCCTCCCTCCCTCCCTCCCTCCCTCCCTCCCTCCCTCCCTCCCTCCCTCCCTCTCTCCCTCCCTCCCTCCCTCTCTCCCTCCCTCCCTCCCTCTCTCCCTCCCTCCCTCCCTCTCTCCCTCCCTCCCTCCCTCCCTCCCTCTCTCCCTCCCTCCCTCCCTCCCTCCCTCCCTCCCTCCCTCCCTCCCTCCCTCCCTCCCTCCCTCCCTCCCTCCCTCCCTCCCTCCCTCCCTCCCTCCCTCCCTCCTCCCTCCCTCCCTCCTCCCTCCCTCTTCCCTCCCTCCTCCCTCCTCCCTCCCTCCCTCCCTCCCTCCCTCCCTCCCTCCCTCCCTCCCTCCCTCCCTCCCTCCCTCCCTCCTCCCTCCTCCCTCCCTCCCTCCCTCCCTCCCTCCCTCCCTCCCTCCCTCCCTCCCTCCCTCTCTCCCTCCCTCCCTCCCTCTCTCCCTCCCTCCCTCCCTCCCTCCCTCCCTCCCTCCCTCCCTCCCTCCCTCCCTCCCTCCCTCCCTCCCTCCCTCCCTCCCTCCCTCCCTCCCTCCCTCTCTCCCTCCCTCCCTCTCTCCCTCAATCCCTCTCTCCCTCCCTCCCTCCCTCCCTCTCTCCCTCCCTCCCTCTCTCCCTCCCTCCCTCCCTCCCTCCCTCCCTCCCTCTCTCCCTCCCTCTCTCCCTCAATCCCTCTCTCCCTCCCTCCCCATCCCTCCCGCTGTGCAACTCCCATCCCTCGTTCCGAAACCAACAGTCGTGACGTGCTGATATCGAGTCAGGTCATCACCTGCGAAGTCCTCAAGGTGAGCACCCCCGCCTCTAGAGCCCCCGCCTCTAGAGCCCCCGTCACTCCTCAAAGGGCTTCCCCTCTCCCACTCGATAAAACATTTTCCCACCTCTTCCCCGTACCACCCCCACACAGCCACTCTTTCGCTTCCTCGCATTCTGAATTCCCTCGTTCTCCTTGACCAATCATTGCCACCCACCCTCACTCCGCACCGCCAGACTCTTTCCATAACCCCCCCCCCCAGTTCCTACAGGTCATTTACTGTACTAAAGTTCCTCCTGGCGTTCATCATTGTATTTTCCACCCGTGAAATGCCATCATCATCCCTCTCCCACCACCCCCTCCTGCCTCCCCCTTCCCCACCCACCCCTTTCCAGCCATGTTTCTCGGCGGCTCTCTCTTCACCGTTTGACGCCACTGGTGCACCTTTTTATGCTCGCACATGCTCCCATTGCCTCTGCATACATTCTGCTGTCCTCTTTTCCCTTCCCCCCGATTTCTTCCTCTCCCATCCACACCACACGCAGGTCCTCATAGCCCTCACAGACGTCTGCTCATAGCCCTAACAGACGTCTGCTCATAGCCCTAACAGACGTCTGCTCATAGCCCCAACAGACATCTGCTCATAGCCCCAACAGACGTCTCCTCATAGCCCCAACAGACGTCTGCTCATAGCCGCGATTTCTTCCTAGACGGCTCTCTCTCTTCACCGTTTGGCGCAACTGGCACCACAAGTCACCCGTGCATTGACATCACCCGTCCCCCACTACCCTTCCACCACGCCACACGCAGGTTCTCATAGCCCTCACAGCCATGTTCCTGGACGGCTCTCTCTTCACCGTCTGGCGCAACTGGCACCTGCTGGACTCGTTAGAAGCTGCTGCGGTACCAGGCCTGCTGTACGCCGCCCAGAACACGCTCATTCAGGTGGCCCTGCGCCACCTGGACTACCTGACGTTCAACCTGCTGAACCAGACGAAACTCCTCTTCACCGCTCTCTCCAACTATCTGTTTCTAAGGTAAGAGTGAGGATGCAGTACAGTGGGAAAGAGGTGGAAAGGGAGTCACTTCATTCAGAACACGCTCATCCAAGTAGCCCTGCACCACCTGGACTACCTGACGTTCAACCTGCTGAACCAGACGAAGCTGCTCTTCACCGCCCTCTCCAACTACCTGCTCCTTAGGTGGGAGGAAATGAGGTGAAATAGGCCATCTGGACTATCTCACGTTCGACCTGCTGAACCAGAGAAACCTTCTGTTCACAGCCCTCTTCAACTACCTGTTACTCAGGTAAGAGGGAACGAAGAAGGGTGGGAAGAGGTGAGAAGAGGTGGGAAGAGGTGAGAAGATGTGAGAAGAGGTGAGAAGAGAGAGATTAAGCCATCTGGACCACCTGACCTTCAACCTGCTGAACCAGACGAAGCTTCTTTTCTCGGACCTGTCCAACTACTTCTTTCTCGGGTAAGAAGGAATGAGTGAAGGTGGGAAAGAGGTGATAATCCGCCAGACCCGACTGCAAAGCATCGCTCTCTGCCTGCTGCTCGTCGCTGCGAGGGAAGAAACGGAGTGAGAGCAAACGAACGACCGTTGTTCCTTCCCACCCTCTCAACCTATTCCTCTGAACCTTTTCCCCTCCTGTCTTGTCTCACTTCTCATCACAGAATCCGCCAGACCCGGGTGCAGATCGTCGCCCTCTGCATGCTGCTCGTCGCCGCCACGCTACTCACCCTCAGCCCAGGCCCTGCTTCTGGTCCGGGGCCTAAACCTGGCCAGACTCACGGAGCGAGTGCAGCAGGGGAGGCGCCGCCATCTATGGCTGCTGGCGCGGCTGCCACTGCTGCTGCGGCGGCGGCTATTGTAGCAGCAGGCGTGGCCTGGGAGAGAGTGGCGCTGGGAGTGGTGCCGGTGCTGGTGGCGTCTGTGACCTCTGGGCTGGGATCAACGCACAACCAGTGGCAAGTGCAGGTGTGTGCGTGGGGGGTGGTGGTATTGTCCTGTCCTGGCGTCTGCGTGTAATGAGTCGAGTTTTTAGTCGACTCGTGTGTAATGAGTCGAGTTTCGAGTCGAATCGTGTGTAATGAGTCGAGTTTTGAGCCGACTCGTGTGTAATGAGTCGAGTTTCGAGTCGAATCGTGTGTAATGAGTCGAGTTTTGAGCCGACTCGTGTGTAATGAGTCGAGTTTTGAGCCGTCTCAAAACTCGACTCATTACATGTGTGCGTGGGGGGTGGTGGTATTGTCTTGTCCTGGCGTCTCATCATTCAGCTCTTTCCCCTTGTCTCGTCTGGTCTTGTCTCGGTGCAGGTCAAGAGGCGCAGCCCACATCTATTCACCATCGAGATGTGTTCCCTCACGTCCCTCGTCCTGCTCGTCTCTCTCTTCACTTCCCAAGACGGCGCCCGCATGTTGCAACTCGGCTTCTTCCACGCATGGACGCCACTCACCATCGTAAGAAGCATCAAGTCGTGCTTGCTCCCCTTTCTTGCCACTGTGCGTGCACCATCATGCATGCACATCACTGTTCCTATCCTCTCCTTCCAAGACGCTGCTGCTCGCATGTTGCGCCCCGGCTTCTTCCACGCCTGGACGCCCCTCGCCATAATGAGTCAGCATGCATTCATCCTGCCAATCGCGACTCTGACTCACTACCGTGCGCTGTGTAGTTTGAGGCGCCTCAAAATACACCTCAATGCATTCATCCTGCCATGCCAATCGCGACTCTGACTCACTACTGTGCGCCGTGCGGTGCTATCACTGCTCCCCGTCTCCCTCCTCTCCTCCCAGGACTTCTCTCGCATGCGAGTGGATTCCCACCCATTCCCACTTTCAACTGTTGAGGCGCCTCAAAACTCAAACTTCGATCGCATGGGAGCTGAACCCTGCCCATTCTCAATATCGCTATACCCCCAACCCCCCAGATTCCAGCTCGGTCAAATGCCATAGAGGGCACCCTCGTAGGCCTTGTGCACAAGCATGCCTTTTCCTGCCCACCCCTACCCTTATCCTCGCTTCCGCTCTAACCCCATCCCTATCCCACCTCATCGCCACCCGCCAGATTCCAGCTCAGTCAAACGCCATAGGGGGCATCCTCGTGGGGCTTGTGACCAAATATGCCTTCTACTTCTCACCCCTACCCCAACCCCCACACACACCCCCTTCTCCCCCCCCACAACCCCAACCCCACGCCCCACCCCACCCCCCAGATTCCAGCTCTATCAAACGCCATAGGAGGCATTCTTGTGGGGCTTGTGACCAAATATGCAGGGGGCGTTAAGAAGGTATGCTGGGGGAGGGGATAGGTGGTGGAGGCGGGGCGGGTGTCATAAGAGGGTTCACTGGGTTGTGGGGATTTCTTTCCTACTGTATTCATGCCACCATAATAGTCTAGGATCTTTCATTCAAAGCCATAGAACCAGCCCATCCAGACGGTCTGCTGGTAACCAGCATACTGCAGTATGCTCTCGACTCTACGGCATGGCGGTCTGCTGGTAACCGCCATACTGCAGTATGCTCTCGACTCTACGGCATGGCGGTCTGCTGGTAACCGCCGGTCTGCTGGTAACCGGCACGCCTCTCCCCATGCCGCTCTCCCCATGCCGCTCTCCCCATGCCGCTCTCCCCATGCCGCTCTCCCCATGCCGCTCTCCCCATGCCGCTCTCCCCATGCCGCTCTCCCCATGCTGCTCTTCCCCCCCCTCCCCCTCTTCTCCCCATGCTGCTCTCCCCCCCCCCCACCCCCTCTTCTCCCCATGCTGCTCTCTCCCCCCCACCCCCTCTTCTCCCCATGCTGCTCTCCCCCCCCCCACCCCCTCTTCTCCCCATGCTGCTCTCCCCCCCCCACCCCCTCTTCTCCCCATGCTGCTCTCCCCCCCCCCCACCCCCTCTTCTCCCCATGCTGCTCTCCCCCCCCCCACCCCCTCTTCTCCCCATGCTGCTCTCCCCCCCCCCCCACCCCCTCCTCTCCCCATGCTGCTCGTCCCTTCTCTCAACCCACACTCCTTCCCTCACAGGGTTTCACAGTGATAGCGGATCTGCTGGTAACCTCTAGTGCAGTATGCTCTCGACGGCACGCCTCCCTCTCTCTTCATCTGGATGGCACTTCCACCCATTGCTGCTCTCTCTCCAAAACACCTTGAAACTTCTCCCTTTCTCACTCCCACAACCCTCCTTCCTCCTTGCTCCTTCCCTCTCGCAGGGGTTCACAGTGATAGCCGGTCTGGTGGTAACCGCCATAGTGCAGTATGCTCTCGACGGCACACCTCCCTCCCTCTTTGTGTGGCTGGCCCTCCCCCTCACCGTCCTTAGCACCTACCTCTACTCCTCCTCCGCTGCTCCCTCTCCTGCTGCTGCGACTAAGAAGAGCAAGGAGCTCTAAGCTTTAGAACAGTTTGTTGGGGGACTTTTCTCTGGCAAAGAGCTGCTGACACAAGTACTACTGCTGCTGCTGCTGCTGCTGCTGCTGCTGCTGCTGCTGCTGCCTTCTTGCTTCCTTCTTTTCTGCTTCCTATACCAGTCATACACATGACTTGGTCTTCCTTCTGCAAGCGTATCTTTTGCCTATTTGCCTGCTAGGAAGATCCCTAAAGACCTGGCTAGCTGCCAGCTACCCCAGGGTGCCAGTAGTGCGGCAGGTGCATAATAAAGTTTGTTTTTCACATGTACAGTGCGATGTATCACAATGGCAGCTGTTGTATGTACATTATTGCCATTCATGAAAAAATTAATCAAGCATGCATAGCATAACAGTTTGACGTACCTAGTATTCTACTCACTACAAACTAAATACAATACGGTATGGAAAATCTCCTGATGTTGTTAGTCCTCTCTGCTGTGAGTTGCTGTCTACAACGCAGGACCGGTTGCACCGTGCTTCTTGGTCCGGCTGAACACAACAAACCCTTCAGAGAGTTGTCCAGCGGATCCATCCCTGATGCTGCTAGGTTCTGTTGTCTACACCACAGAAGGGCTTGTTGCAGTGCTCTTCTTGGTCGGGCTGAACACAAACCCTTCAAACAGAGGTGACTTTTGAGTCGACTCAAAAGTCCTCTCTGCTGTGAGTTGCTAACTTGGTATCTACAACTCAGGACCAGTTGCACCATGCTTCTTGGTCGGGCTGAACACAAACCCTTCAAACAGAGAGTTGTCAAGTGGATCCAATCCCAAGGCTGCATGCGTATCAATCGTCAGGTTTGGTTTCGCACCTCCCCCTGCCTTTCCCCCACCCCCTGTGTTTCCAGTCTTCCCGGCATGCCCCTTGTCAGCGCCAGCTGGAGCTTTATCATTGGTGGAGGTCTGGCCGGTCTTTGCAGGGGCGTTGGTGGGCTTCGCTGTACCTGCAAGCATCCACATTGGCAGATGTTGCAAATCAAACGGGAGAGAGACGGATGCAGGGAGAGGAAAAGACTTTTGAGACGTCTCAAAAGGCGTTGGTGGGCTTCATTGCACCTGCAAGCGTATACATTGGCAGATGTTGCAAATCAAACGGGAGAGAGACGGATGCAGGGAGAGGAAAAGACTTTTGAGACGTCTCAAAAGGCGTTGGTGGGCTTCATTGCACCTGCAAGCGTACACATTGGCAGATGTTGCAAATCAAACGGGAGAGAGACGGATGCAGGGAGAGGAAAAGACTTTTGAGACGTCTCAAAAGGGGTTGGTGGACTTCATTGCACCTGCAAGCATCCACATTGGCAGATGTTGCAAATCAAACGGGAGAGAGACGGATGCAGGGAGAGGAAAAGACTTTTGAGACGTCGCAAAAGGCGTTGGTGGGCTTCATTGCACCTGCAAGCGTACACATTGGCAGATGTTGCAAATCAAACGGGAGAGAGACGGATGCAGGGAGAGGAAAAGAATTTTGCGACGTCTCAAAAGGCGTTGGTGGACTTCATTGCACCTGCAAGCGTACACATTGGCAGATGTTGCAAATCAAACGAGAGAGAGACGGATGCAGGGAGAGGAAAAGACTTTTGAGACGACTCAAAAGGCGTTGGTGGGCTTCATTGCACCTGCAAGCGTACACATTGGCAGATGTTGCAAATCAAACGGGAGAGAGACGGATGCAGGGAGAGGAAAAGACTTTTGAGACGTCTCAAAAGGCGTTGGTGGACTTCATTGCACCTGCAAGCGTACACATTGGCAGATGTTGCAAATCAAACGGGAGAGAGACGGATGCAGGGAGAGGAAAAGACTTTTGAGACGTCTCAAAAGGCGTTGGTGGGCTTCATTGCACCTGCAAGCGTACACATTGGCAGATGTTGCTAATCAAATGGGAGAGAGACAGATACAGGGAGTGAGAGGGGAGGACAGGGAGGTAAGGAGAGAGTAAGAGGGGGTTGAGAGAAGGGTAAGGCGAGGAGGTGACAAAAGGGATGTGGAAGGGCGAAAGCTTGAGGGGAAAGATGAGGTGAAGGGGGTTACAGGGAGATGGACAGTTTATAGTTACTCTGGTGGTTGTCTGTGGGCGCAGCAGAGGAGGTGACAAAAGGGACAAGGATGTGGAGTGGGGGAAAGAGGGGGGGGGAAGAGGGAGGGGGGAGTGGGGGTACGAGGAGATGGGCAGCATACAGTTACCATGGTGGCTATCAGCGGGCGCAGCAGACGAGGGTGGCTCCAAGGGATCGCTGATGTGAAGGCCGGTGAAGCTCTTATCGAAGTTTGACACGTCCTCTATGCCCTGTTGGGTCGACATTTCAGCACAGCAACAGGTAGGAGAGGAGGGATGGAGGGCTGCGCATGAGAAGGAATAGCGAGCATAAGAAGGTCCCAACTAAACCTCTCTCCCTATGAGACATTTCGGACCAAATCTGCAGCACCTGTCACTCTACCCCACTCACCTGGCTGCTACAGATCGCTCACGTCACAAAAAGAAAATCCCACTCCACATCACTCACCTTGCTGGTGGGCACGAATGGGGGAGGCACCTCCCTGGCATACAGCCTGTCCCAGTCCATGCCTCTGAAGCACACATCACTCTACCGCACTCACCTTGCTGCTACAAATAGATCACGTCACAAAGAGCAAATTGCACTTCACCCCACTCACCTTGCTGCTGGGTACAAACAGGGGAGGCACCTCCCTCGCATACAGCCTGTCCCAGTCCATGCCTCGGAAGCACACATCACTCTACTGCACTCACCTTGCTGCTGCAAATAGATCACGTCACAAAGAGCAAATTGCACTTCACCCCACTCACCTTGCTGCTGGGTACAAACGGGGGAGGCACCTCCCTGGCATACAGCCTGTCCCAGTCCATGCCTCGAAAGAACTCGTGCCTCATGATCTCCGCAGCGTCAGTCGGGCCCGCTCCGAGCCTCTGGCTCGGCTCCCGAATCAGCAGCTGGAAAGAAGGTTGGTAGGGAGGGTATGTGGATGGATGAGTTGGGAGCCGGTGGAGAGGAGTTTAGCGAGGTATGGGAAGAGCTAAATGCATACTGGGGTTATATTTTGGGGAACATGATCAAAGGGGGCAAATAAAAGATGCACTTTCTGTATAAAATCTGCAACTGTAGTTATAATATTGTTGCGTGGTAATCAATGCTCAAACATGGATGAGTTTTTGCACCTCAGAGATAAGGATTTTCTCCCAGGAAAGACTAGGACTCTCACCTTGGAAATGAGATCGCGGAGATAAAAATTGGTGACGGTAACGGGGAAGACGAGAGGCGCGTTCACTATCTTGTTGTACATTATGTTCACATTGCGATCGTAGAAGGGCGGCTGGTGGAGGGAAGAGGCGAAATGGGAGAAACACCGACGCAAGTTTCTGGAACGACACACCACAATATTGTGACCATGAAAGGGCGGATGGGGGGAGGGGAGATAAGAATTTGGATAAGAACAGATGCAATGTGGGGGGAGGGTAGATGGGAGGATGACTTCTGAGTCGACTAGGAAGCTGACCACTTAGCAAACACACCACTCCATGCACTCACCACACCGACCACCATTTCAAAGAGGAGAATCCCGAGGCTCCACCAATCCACAGCCCTACCATGCCCCTTGCCTCTCAGTACCTCCGGAGCTGTTTGGGGGAATGGGGGTTTGGGATGGGGTGGGATTACTGAGGAGGAGGGTGGGTGAAGTGCATTTGTAGGTGGGAAACGACAGGAAATAAGAGTTGGCATGAAAGGTGATGATGGTGATAAGCAGGGGGGCTGGGTTGGCCAATGAAGCATGCCATGTGAGGGCGAATGCAATAGGCTCAGAGGTGGCTTCGCCCGGACTTGAACCGGAGACCTTCAGTGTGTTAGACTGACGTGATAACCAACTACACCACGAAACCGATGTCAGCCCAGAAAACAGTTAATCTATAAACAAACATCCGTAGTCCTGGAGGCTGACCTAGATACTCGGGTGTGCCGCAAAATGTGGAAGCCGATGAGTTGTCGGCGATGTGCTCTTTGGCCAATCCGAAGTCCGCGATGCGCACGTGACCTGGCGCGGCGCGGTAGTGGATAACGAGATGGATGGACAGGAATGTGCAATGCGGATAACACCACCATTATTCAATGGCATAGCATCAGATTATTCAGCTCAGAAGTCTAGAGTCAGTATGACAGGACAATGAGGTAAGAGTAGCTTCACCAGTTAGTTGTAACTGATTGTTGCTGACGGCTTACCTTGAGCGTCTAGGAGAATGTTCTCCGGCTTCAGGTCGCTGCGGCAGACAGCAGACCCATGGGAGCGAGATTACGATGGGGGGGGGGGGGGGGGGGGGGGGGGTTATGCGCAGAGGGTGGGGAAAGGGGGATGGGGGAGGGGAAGAGAACATGAGAGAGATGAGTTTCAGGTCCTGGGGTTGAGCTGAAAGGGGCAGATATAGGGATATCAACCGCGCGGCGTAGGTCGGCGGCGCTCGCGCTTGACCGACCTACCCGTTACATACCAGTCGCGCAACCGTCGCATGCCAGTCGCATGCTAATGTATGACGCCTAGAGAATGCAGGTGCCCCAGCGCCAAAAGAAGCTCCGCGGCGTACAGGCGCGCGCGGTCGTCCTTGAACCGCCGCCTCTTTCGTTCACCCCCTAGTACCCGTCGCACGCCAGTCGCACAACTTGCGCACACTGGGCGCACACGTTTCCCACAGCCACATACCAGTAAATGACGCCCAGCGAGTGCAGATGCCCCAGCGTCAGAAGAAGCTCCGCGGCGGTAGAGGCGCGCGCGGTCGTCCTTGAAGCGCCTTTCCCGCAGCACTCACATATCATCCACATACAGTCGCACGGCTGTCGCACACCCGTCGCATACCGATAAATGACGCCCAGCGAGTGCAGGTGCCCGAGAGCCAGCAGCAGCTCCGCGGCGTAGAGGCGCGCGCGGTCGTCCTTGAATCGCCGCTCGCGCTTGAGGTGAAAGAAGAGCTCCCCGCCCGGCATG